TGCCCGTGCGGATTGTGGTACGTGCCCACCAGCCACTCCTGCCGGAACGCCCCGTCCAGGGCCGGGATCCGGCCCACCGCCAGGACGTGGTCGGCGGTCGGGGGCGGGGCCGCGAGGAACCAGTAGCCCCGGCTGCCGCTGACCACCGGGAACGGGAACCGGCCGTGGCGCCCCCGCTCGATGGCGGCCGCCTGCGGGTAGAAGGCCGTCACGATCACCGTGTCCGGCGGCAGCGTCGGTGCCACGGCGGCGACCTGGTCGGCGAGCTGTGTCCAGCCCGTGCTCCCGGGCCGGGTCAGGAAGCGGTCACCGGGGTCGACGGTGCCCACGGGCAGCAGCGGCAGCGCGATCACGGCCGCGAGAGCCGCCGAGACGCCCAGGGTCCATCGGCTGCTCACCACACGCCACCAGCGCCCCGCCGAGCAGGTGCCGGCCACGGCCGACGCCGCCCACAACGGTCCGAACACCGTGGCGCTGTAGTACGGGTGCCCGGGCAGCACGGTGTACACGGCCAGGCAGAGCACCACGGCGACGCCGAGGAAGCGGTAGGGCGCGAGCTCCGGGCGTCGCCAGAGCACCACGATGCCGTGCACGGCCAGTGCTGCTCCGCTGATCACGCCGGCCCACACGAGCGCGAGCAGCGGGTACGCGATCCGTCCCGCGGTACCGCCGTTCTCGGCGCCGATCGTGGCGCCCATCGCCAGTTGCGGCCACCCGTTCGCGGCCTGCCACGCCAGGGCGGGCAGGGTCGACGACGCCGCCACGACGAGCCCGACCCACAGCGCGGGGCGGCGCAGGGCCGCCCGCGGGCCGACGACGACCAGGCCGAGCAGCAGCCCGCACCACAGGATCGGGATCATGTACTTGACCTGCAACGCAACGGCCGTCACAGCAGCGGCCGCGAGCAGCAGCCGGTCCTGGCGGACGTGATCGCCGTCCCGGTGACGACGGGTCCAGCGGACCAGCAGCCAGCACACCGCCGCCCACAGCGGCGGGTCGAGGGTCGAGGTCGCCAACAGGTGGCCGGTCCACAGCGTCCCGAAGGACGACGCGTGCACCGCGGCGGCGAGCACCTGCGCCCGTCGCCCGCCGCCCAGCTCGCGCGCGAGGCCCGCCGACACCAGGACACTCGCCGCGGTCGCGAGGGTGGCCGGCAGGCGCAGGACGAGCAGCGAGTCGGGAGCCAGCGAGTCCATGGCGTCGGCGAGCCACGGGAGCAGCCACGGCTGATCGGCGTATCCCCAGGAGAAGCGCTCGCCGGCGACGAGGAAGTAGAGCTCGTCGACGAAGTACCCGTACCGGGTGCTGACCGCCGTGAGGAGCACCGCCAGCGCCCCGACCACGACGAGCAGCGGACGCCACGCCCACGGGGCCAGGCCTGCGATTCCCGCCGGTTCCTCGCGGTCCGCGGGGCGGGTGTCCACGCCGGTGCCCGCCGCCTGGTCGGTCATCGGCGCTCCTCTCGTGGGGGCGTCACGCCGCGGCCAGGAACAGCACGGTGCTCAGCGACGTGGCCGCCAGCCGGACGAGGTTGGTCGTGTGGAAGCGACGCAGCAGCCGCATGACCGGCGTGGGCGAGCTCGACGGATCCCACGTGAGCACGTCCCGGTAGAGGGGCGCGTTCACCACGACCGTGCACACCAGGTAGCCCAGGAGGAACACGCCGCCGCCGGCGAGCGCGAAGCCGGGCCGTGCGGTGCCGGGGGCGTCGAGGAAGGCGATCACGATCCCGCCGAGGACGGGGACGATGCTCAGCGCCAGCAGCACCGGGTTCGCACTCGCGAAGCGCAGAAACGTCTGGAATCCGCGCGCCGCGAGCGCCTCGGGCTCCTGGGCCCACAACGGCCGCAGCACGGTGGTCAGCACCACCATCAGCCCGGTGAGCATCGCGGCGCTGACCACGCACAGGTAGACGAGTACCGAGTACATCCGACCTCCCGACGTGCCCGTCCTTAGCCCGGGCGGAAGGGGCCGGGTCCGATGAAGAGCCCACCGCTCGCGTCGATGACCTGTCCCGTGACCCACCGACCGTCGTCGGAGGCGAGGAAGGAGACGACCGAGGCGATGTCGTCGGGGCGACCGACACGACCGAGCGCGGTGTAGGTGGCGATCGCACCCACCGCCTCCGGGCTGTGCTGCAACCAGGCGACCATGTCGGTCTCGGTCGTCCCGGCCGCGACGGAGTTGACGGTGACGCCGTGGGCGCCCACCTCACGCGCCAGCGTGCGCCCGAGGACGTCGAGGGCACCCTTGGTCATCGCGTAGGCGATCTCGGTGGTGACCGAGATCCTGGTGTTGGCCGAGCTGAGATTGATGATCCGGCCGCCGTCGGCGAGCAGCGGCAGGGCACGCTGCGTGGCGAAGAACGGTGCCCGGACGTTCACGGCGAACAGCCGGTCGAAGTCCTCGGCGGTGGTCTCGGAGAGCGTCTTCGCGAGATGGGCGCCGGCGTTGTTGACCAGGATGTCGAGTGGCGCGCCCGCCAGCGCGCGCTCCAGTTCGGAGAACAACCCGTCGACGTCGCCCTCGTCGCCGAGGACGGCGCGGATCGCGACCGCGCGACCACCGTCCTTCTCGATCGCCGCGACGGTGTCGCGCGCCGCGTCCTCGCTGTGCCCGTAGTGGACCGCGACGAACGCCCCGTCGGAGGCCAGGCGCTCGGCGACGGATCTCCCGATCCCTCGCGACGCACCGGTGACGAGAGCGGTCCTCCCCGTCAAGTCGCCCATCCGGCGCCCTCCCGTGTCGATCCGTGCGGTGACGTCGCGACGGTATGTGCGGCTCGTCGGGGTCGACAAGGAAGCGCCCGGGCCCGGTCGAACCGGGGTCCGGGCACCTCCGCGCCTTGCTATGTTCCCGATCATGGCTGGTCAACTCGCCATGACGGACGATCTGCTCGCGTACGTCGAGGGGATCTCGGGTCCCGCCGACGCCGTCCTCGCCGGACTGCGCGCCGACAGCGCCGGTCTGCCGGGCGGCACCGTGATGCCGGTGATGCCGGCGGAAGCCGCTCTCCTCGCCTGGCTGGTCCGCCTGCGCGGTGCCCGGCGGGTGCTCGAGATCGGTACGTACACCGGCTACGGCGCGCTCGCCATGGCGTCCGCGCTCCCGCCCGGGGGGCGACTCGTCACCTGCGACGTCAACCCGAAGTGGGTGGCCTTCGCCCGGCCCTACTGGGAGCGCGCCGGGGTCGCCGACCGCATCGAGACCGTGATCGGTGACGCGTCGGCGAGCCTCGACGCGATGCTCGCCGAGGACCCGAGCCGGTCGTTCGACCTGATCTTCGTCGACGCCGACAAGGCGAACTATCCGGCCTACTTCGAGCGGGTCGTCGACCTGGTGGTCCCGGACGGACTGCTGGTCTTCGACAACACGCTGCTCGACGGTCGGGTCGTCGACCCGGGCGCCGACGACGCCGACACCCGCGGTATCCGCACGGTCAACGAGCTGCTCCGCGACGACGACCGGGTCGACGTGTGCGTGCTCCCGCTCGCCGACGGCGTGACGCTCGCCCGACGGCAGCCGTCCTGAGCGACCCGCCGGCCCGCCACCCCTGGAGAGCTCCATGAGCGACACGCCCTCCGACCCCGGCGCTGCCGGTGTCCCGCTGTTCCTGCGCCGTTGCGGCTACGGCCCCGACGACGCACTGTCCGATCTGCGCCGACGCGGAGAGATCGTCCCGCCCGAGATCCTCGGGCCGGCCGAGAACGCCTTCCTGCTCACGCGCTACGACGACGTCCGTCAGGTCCTCGGTGACACCCAGACCTTCACCAACACCGCGGACGTCACCGGAGGACAGGCTCCCGAGACGACCACGGAGGCCGCCCGCGAGGGCCGGCTGATGCGCCAGGACCCCCCGCAGCACACGCGGCTGCGCCGCATGCTCGCGGCGGAGTTCACCGGCCGGCGCGTGCAGCGCCTCGCACCGCGGGTGACCGAGGTCGTCGAGGGGCGGCTCGACGCCCTCGAACAGGCCGGGCCGCCGGCGGAGCTCGTCGAGCAGTACTGCCTGCCGATCCCCTCGCTGATGATCTGCGAGCTGCTCGGGGTCGCCTACTCCGACCGCGCGGAGTTCCAGGAGCGCAGCCGGCGCATGTTCGACTTCGCCATCGCGCCCGACGAGCGTGCGGCCCTCGAGGCGGACAGCGAGCGGTTCATGTCGGCGCTGGTCGACGCCGCGCGGGCGGATCCCGGCGACGACCTGCTCGGCATGCTGATCCGCGAGCACGGCGACGAGCTCGGCCACGCGGAGCTGGTGGCGGTGGCGGGCGACCTGCTCGTGGCGGGGCACGAGACCACGGCGAACATGATCTCGATGTCGATCCTGGCGCTGCTGCAGCACCCCGAACAGCTCGCCCTCGTCCGCGACCGCCCCGGCGCCGAGGCCAGGGCGGTGGAGGAGCTGCTGCGCTGGCTGTGCGTCGTGCCGATCGTGCTCCCCCGGGTGGCCGTGGCCGACACCGCGATCCGGGGCGTACCGGTCCCCTCCGGCTCGGTCATGGTGTGCTCGCTCCCGAGCGCGAACCGCGACCCGGCGCTGATCGACGAC